TTGTACTTGCTTGTAACGCATCATCCCTTCCTTTTTTCTGATTTCTCCCTTCTAGAATGGAAATGTCTATTCCATGCCTGTTTCAACATTGTGTTTTGGAAGCACATAACTTGTTGAGTCCACACATTCACAAATGGAGAGCAATTTTGCTTCAGGATGTCTTACTCATATCTGATTTAAAATGATATTTAGATGATATTTTGAACTTAAGACTTCAAAGTTAATGTTGGAATGAGTTAAGACTTTGGGGGCTTTTTTGGATGGGATGAACTTATTTCGCATGTGAGAAGGACATGAAACTTTGATGGGACAGAGTCATATTGTCATGAACTAAACTTGTGTCTCTCTAAATTTGTATATTGATAGACTAACCCACAATATGATGGCTGTAAAAGGTATTGGAGCCCTCATTAATTGGATTAATAAAAGGAAACCCAGAGAGCTCTCTTGCTGCATTTTCTGTCATATAAGGACAGAATGAGAAGCCAACTATCCATGAACCAGGAAATGGGCCCTGAGCAGACACAAAATCTGCCAGTGCCTTGATCTTGGTCTCCCTAGCCTCTAGGCATATGAGAAATAAATATTGTTTAAGCCATACAGTTTATGGTATTTTTGTTATAGCAGTTGGAACTGCCTAACACATTGCTGATCTATGACAGCTAAGACTGTTTTCCCAATTTCCTTAATCCTTTTCAGAATAATCCAGAACTCAGTTATGTATATTAATTATTTGCATAATTCTTAAATGAGACTATTATAGTTCAGCTGTTTTACAAAGTTTAAAATACTATCCAAATATGAGGATCTGGTATTATTACATGTGTTAAAAGTGCATAAAAGTCTCAGGTGAAACATCCCATAAAGCACAAAATTTTCTAAAGATGTAACTCCTTAAAAAATCTTGTTTGGAATTGCTTACATGATGAAAGGTTCAGTTTAGATAAAACCAAATCAGTGGTTTGTGCTGTAATGTGAACTCAACTGCTCAGTTTCATCAAGATTTGGGTAACTACAGAAGACTGTTAGGGCCTCTTTGGTTTGTCATTGATAAGGTAACCATATTGTCCAAGTCAGGGCACTTTCAACAGTGAAAGGGGACAAGTGTAAACCGAATTCATCCTGGGCAAACCACTAGGCATGGAGACACTGAGCTAAAGCATCTTTTATTCTCTTTGAATCTATTTGTTGATTTGCACCGTTCAGTTTTTATCGTAGTATTCTTATTCCATAATCACAAAGGATGGGGATTAGAGGAGTGAAAGAAGAATGTTATTTAGGCAGAATTGAAGATGTCTTTCCAAGAGCATAGATTAAGAATTAGAAGAGCTAAGATCTCAATATTGCCACAATCATCTGTGATTTCAGGCAAGACAACTGAAATCTCTGTGGCTTAGTTTTCCCATCTGCTTAGTCAAATCTTAGAATCATACGCTTTACAAATTGAAAGGAATGCTGGAGTTCATTTAGTTTGTGCACCTGAAAAATTAATTTTCTATACAATATGCTGACAAGCAGTTGTATAAACGGTTTGCTTATAATACATTCAATGATAGGAAACTTTCTCCCTCAAGAGGCAGCCAATGCCATTGCTGTAGCTAGCCGTTATTGTTCAGACATTGTTTCATTTTTTCTTCTACTTAGGCCAAAGCCTTTAAAATACATTGCAAGATTTAAGGCTTTAGGAGCATTGAATGGACTCTTTTTTTTTTTTTTTTTGGTGATTATTGAACCCCAGGCCTTCTACATGCAAGGCAAGCACTCTACCAACTGAGCTATATCCCCAGCCCTTGAATGGAGACTTTTGCAAGAAACATCTCCTTGTTGTTGGAAGGGTTCAAATAAAGGCTTCGTGACTCATGATCTCCAGGTGCTCTAGGATCTAGAATCTGGAATCTAAATGAATTTTAAGGTCCATTTTTGCTTCCTTAATCAGTGGTTACATGACAGTTCATTAAAAGAATTAACCTTTACATCAAGTCTTCTGAACAGCTCCTTATTTCCAATTTTTTCCTTTCTATTCTTTTTTTTAAAATCCTGTAGCCTCAAATCTTTCATCTGCATATGACTCCTCTCTCTCCTTTGATTCTTTCTCTTTCTTTCTTTCTTTCTTTCTTTCTTTCTTTCTTTCTTTCTTTCTTTCTTTCTTTCTTTCTTCCTTACTTTCTTTCTTTCTTTCTCTGTTTTTTGTTCTCTTCTCTTTTTCTTTTGCAGTGCTGGGGATTGAACCTAGGGTTTCTTGCATGCTCGACAAGTGCCCAACCACTGAGGTATATTCCCCTTTTGCCTTCATATGTAGGTTCTCCCCTGTTCCAAACTCAGTATCTAGTATCTGTTCTCACTTCCTTTTCTTATTATAGTGCTTAACTGTCTTGCCTGAATTAATATAGAGCCTCCTCTCTGAACTACTGGCCTCCATCTTTTCCCTTTCAAATCCATCCTGTGTTTCTAAACTGTCTCTCTGATCAGCTCTCTTCCCTTTTCACTTCCCCTTCACCTTAATTTTGATCATTGAAAATCTTCCCCACTCTTTATCATGGCATTGAAAACCCTCGCTGATCAGGTCCAATTTATCTCTAGACATATTTCTTGCACTCACTTTCCTAAACTCTTCTAGTGAAATGGATCCCCCCTGTACTGTATTCCAAGAAAGTTCTGTTTTCTTGTTATTCAGTTTTTTATTATACAGTTCCCATGCTCAGGACTTCCCCTGCCCTAATCACTTGCACCAAAACAATCCTATCCATGTTTCAAGGTCAATCTCAAGTCTCTTCTCTTTTAAGTATTCCCAAATGACTCCAGCTGAATGCCTATACCATTTTATTTTCTGTATCATTCATCCAGCAGTCGATCATGTGTTGCCTTATAATATCTGTGGAAATTATTTACCTTAAGTAGTGTCATTTATTTTTTTATGTATATCTTGTCTTATCAACTACCTCAATGTTCAGTGAGATCAGGAGTTCAGTTTTTACCTTTTTTTTCAACTCTATGGAACAGAACTGAGCACCTAGTAGAATCTGGCTCACTACTGTGTACTGACTAGTTTCCAATAGATTACCCAATTATATTGTCACTACTCTAATAGACCACTAAATCCATGATTAATCTTCCCTCACCACATTTGTCAGGCGCTGGTGGTGACAGAGGATAGAAGAGACTGTTAGAGATAAGGTGCATATGAGAGAAAGCGTATTTGTCCGTTTAAGCCTCGAGCAAGACAAATTGCTAAGATGCTGGTGGTGAGACATTTCTCTATCAGCTACTAGTGTTCCTTAATAGATTTAGGTCCCTGGGGCAGCTCACAGAAGTTGTGATTATAACCTGATACTCACAACTCTTCAAGAAAGTAAACAGGCAGATTATTTTTTCCTTTCTGCTTTGTGCTGTGTAGTCAATACCTAGGTGTTTAATTCAGTGGAATCAGGAATGACACATCAACTCTCTGGTGACTTTCTCTAGCATGTTTTGCATTCATGGACTAATAATTAAAATTCAAAATATCCTATGTGACCATTTATGCCAAATTTTAAATGTCACTTGATTTGTAAGAAACATTGCCGTTTGAATAGAAGTAAGCCAAGGAAAGAAAAAGATTGTTCCACGGGGATAAGGATGGGACAGAAGCATAGAATTTATAGCTTTTCATGGCTACCTCTAATGTTGTGCCATAATGGCCTCACTGCCAGGGAGGGATATGCTTTTCCATCAGGAAGGGGAAAAGAAAATAACAAATGTATGAAATGCTGAGTCATATGAAGGACCATTATCAAATGCTAAGCAAAGGATCTCTTAATTAAGCACAACACATCATGGGCTTGGAAAAGGCTTTAATGACATGTGGAAAGGCCCCAGGTCAGCAAACTTGTCATGTTCCCTCATCACAGCCATAGGTATAAGAAGGTATATTTATAAGACTAAGTGGTCAAAACCCTAAGAAAGAAGCCCTGGGAGAATAAGGATAGATGGTTCTTCTTGATAGTATTATTTTTACTTCTAAAGGCCATTGTTACTAAACTACATTGCAAAATGCTCCATCTGAATTACCTGGAATAATCCTCTGCCCTTTGCTAGTTATTTAAGACATAGAGATCTTTTAAAGTATGTATTCATTTGTTGATCTCCAAGACCTTCAAAGAAGAATGCTGCTTTAATATGAACCATGTATCATTCCTTCTCCAAAACCTAGCTCCACTATTATCCTCAGATACATTTATTCACTCAAAAATAATTATTAAGCCTCTGTCATGTGCCAGACATTGTTCTAAATAAATAAATGCCATGGATCCCTCCTTTCTTGGAACTCGCATAGCTTATAACTATAGAGATCTAATAGAAGAACAGGCTGGGGGCATAGCCCAGAGTTTGAATGCTGTAGGAAGCAGTGGTCAAAGACTTGATATTGCCAAGGAGAGGAAGAACCCTAATAAGCTTTGGAGAAGACTGTGCCTTGCTCTTCCCTCTATGCTCATTTTATGATGAACAGAAAACAGACAGGAAGAATCCTATACTGGTTAAGGACATAAGCTTTGGGATGACACAACCTAGGTTCAAAACCTGATTTTACTACTGAGTAGTTTTCACCTCAGTCTGATTCCTTCCTGATTCTGAGTTTCAGTTTCTTTACTTGTTACTATAGTCATTCAGCAGATGCAACTCAAGACTTCCAACTGAAGCCTTCCTAACAGAAGGGCATCTAAGTTACCTGCACTTATACATCTTGAGTGCCTTGTTCATTGGGTAATACAGTGATATCTACATATCAAGTACATGTGTGCCAAGGTATATAAACCACATATTTATCAGGGTCTGAATCTAAGTGACTTATTCCTTTTCAAGTATAGTTCTAAACAGGTTTCCTAAAGCTATCTGTTTGTACTTCCTGACTGAATACTCTGCTTCTATTATATTATTTCCCTGTTTAAAATGTGGATTAACCAATGCAATTACCTAAGCATTTACCCATGAGAGTTGTTTGGGTTTTCTACTATTTCCCTTACCTTATGAACTTCTCCTTGTTGGACGGTTTTTATGACGTTAATCCATTCTTCCATGTCTTTCCGGTTGGGTGCTGCCAGGGTGACTTTTCGTTCTGGTGTAATAACCTGAACAAAAAGTCACATTATTAGCTCATTCTTGGTCCACAACTTTTCCTCCACAACAGTCTGTGAACAGTCTAAGGAACTAGCTAGATCTATCAAACATAACCCAAACCATTTCTTCAATATAACACATGATTTCCTAGGGTTACTCACAGCTCCTTATATACACACCCAAAATAATAACAATGGCAATAATAGTAATAGCTAACAATTTAATTGTACTTCCTATGTACTAGGGACTCTTCTAAAGGACTCCACTACAGCCTTCACTACAACCCCATGACAGGTGTTGTTAATTTTCCTATTTCATCATCAGGAAAACTAAGCCAAAGAAAGATAAATGACTTTTCCAGGGTCACCTAGCAGATAAAAAGCTAAGCTAGAATGGAAATATAGTCTGTGGCTCCAGAATCCATGTTTTTTTTTTTTTCAATACTGTAGATTGAGCTTAGAGGTGCTCTATAACTGTGTCACATCCCAACCCTTATTATTATTTTTTTAAATTTTAAGACATGGTCTCACTAAGATGCCCAGGATGTCCTTGAACTTGTGATCTTCCTGCCTCAGTCTCCTGAGTCACTGAGATTATTACTAAAGCCATGCATCATCTATTACTCAAGTGCTTACTGCTGCTGTCTACTCAAAGTGGTAAAAGTGTACGTAATTCATTAGGTGTACATCTTTCTGTTTGGGGGTACACCAAAATGAGATGTCCAAAAAATCCAGTTTCTTTCTTTCTTAGGGGCGAGGACAACCTGAAAAAAATTTTATAGCTGTCTCTCTTAATCTTGCCTGGTTCAAGAACCCTTCAGGAATAATAAGTAAGTCATGGTGAGGGTCTAGCAGATGTAGACCATGGGCATAAGTTGGCCTTTCCCCAGAGGAAAGTGGGAACATGGATAGTTATAACATCAGTCATTGCTTCAAAGGCCTTATTTGCTTTGGCTACCAACATCTCAAATCTTAGAATTAGAGCTCATCACACCAACAAGCAATTTCCCTTTCCTTTTGTATGTAACACAGCATGATTGTTTGGCAGGTAGTTGTGATTGTGATCAGAGCCACTCCTTTGATCCAAACCTATTCTTAGTTGGGACTGTTGTGCAGTGCCTTTGTGCTTACATTAGGCTAAGGAGCAGCCTTGCCTGTAGGATTTCTTTGTAGAATCAAGGCCAAAAACATTGACCTAATGACTCATTTGGGGACAAATCAGTAGAATGCCCAGATTTACCTTGGGCCAATGTGACATAATGTGAAAAAAACAAAGCTGGGTTTCTATGTTAGATCTATCTGCTCTCTTTTCAAAAGAGGATGGAATGTGGACCAGCCATGGAAGAAGGGTATTAGGCTTATAGCTTTTTAGTCCACTAAATACCATCCTCTACCTGCTGCAGAGGATCACCCACTGTTGAGACTGGGAAGAGATACTTTTGGGAGGAGGTGGGTAGGAAATTTCTGAGTCAATGGACTGGCTATTTTTCAGTGAGTTTTCTAGTCTGGATTCATTTGAATGACAAAAGCCCCACGTGACATTTCAGGCATGCTAAGCCCTTAAACACTTCCTCAGAAAAATCCTCTTTTTTTTTTTTTCTTTGAGATGCTCTCATTAGTAATATCAGCATGGGATAGATTTCACTTTGGATTTAGGTTCTTATCTATTTCATCAAAGGAGGGGATACCATGTAACTGGATTATCCAGATATTTTTCTATGACATGTTAGTAGTCTCTTGAAACCCTCCCAATGATACTCTTATAAATCACTTTATCAGGAAGATTGACTGACGATTTTAATAGTCACACAATCTGAAATCAGCTTAGCTTTATAGTACGCTGATAATAGGGAAAAGGACTATCACTGTTTGGCCCCAAACAGTGGGTTTGTAGAAAATGTTTGTATGAAAAATAACACTTCAATATCAAAGGAGCCTTGGGAAACTTAATGTCCAAAGAGGGAATTAGTAGGCATGGTAGCCCCTCTTTTTATCTAGCCCCCACCCCTGCTCATTCAGTCATTCCCAATCATACTTACAGAAAAACTGTGGCAAAGATTTCTACAGCTGCTTTCTGCCAAGGTGACTTGAGACAGATCAATTGTTTCAAAGTGTACAAACTGGAAAGATATAAGAGGAAGAGGAACCATTTGTTTAATGACGCAAAGTGACATTAAAAGGTAAATAGACATACATATACATGCACACACACTGACAGGCATTTTTGGCAGTAATGATCCAATCACTCTTTTATCTTCAAGGCCGAAATTTATTTAAAAACATGATTTTTGTGGATATGTCATATGACAAATAAAAAATAAATCAATCTAAACCAAAACACAACTTTTCCAAAATCATTCATGTGGATTTATAGGAAACTTGGGTTAGTGAGTCAGTCTACAATTATTCAAATATAAAGATTAATGCTGGAGGAGATAATGGGATATCATCTGTTAGTGTACTAGTAGTACAGATTGTTATTAACATCTGTTCTATTGGGTGACAGCCTTTGACCACATTGCTTGTCCCATCCAGTTTGATCCTTATCTCCTTGTACATTGGGCATAGTAGATACTACCCAGCCAGCAGCAGGAATCCAGTACTACTGACATATACAGGGATGACATCACCAATATGAAAGCTGCGCAGTTGCACAAGGCCCAATATTCAGAAGGGCCCCACACTTGGTTTCATGATCAGCTATTGCCATATTGAAATTTGCAATCATGTTATCTTTGAGTTTGTGTTTTGCATATAAGTTCATTGGAACAGTGAGCTGTGATATGAGCAGAAAATGTATGGCAAAAGACACCCATCCATTTGCATTTGTGATGTCCATAAGCATAGAATCACAGTGGACCCATCATATGTGGGTCTACAGTGAAACTTAAAGCAAATACCAGGTTAAGTGTGTTATATCTATGACTGAGTAAGCAGGGGAGCTGACAGCCCTGAGAGGCCACATGTGCTGTTGGAAACAAAACTTGCTGCAATCATAGAAAAGAGGCAATGGTGTTCTGGAAAACGTGAACTATCAAGAACTCCTATCGTTTTCTTTCTTACTTATGTTACTTCACTATGTTAGCTAACGATTTATGCTTAAAAGGATGACATTGAAGGAAAGGGGAAAATAGAGCAAAGCATACATAGTTCTTTCAGTCAAAACGTGTTGATAGAGTGTACAAGTATTAAAAATTGAAAAAAAAAACAGTTGAGCTAGTTTTGTACAGTTTTGTGTTCCGATAAGAACAAAATACATATGCATGTATGAGATACTAATACAAATTATATAATTTTAGTGATTATTTACAACATATTTGCATTTAAAACTAGCACAATACAATGTACAAATGAATGGTAAAATTCATGCTAATCATTTAAAATTTTATTTTTACTTAGAACAACATTAAATATTAAAACAAAAGCAACATAAGTCATTGTTTTATATTATAATGTAAATACAAAACATTATATTAGCACCATTAATGACCTGTTCTTCCTGATTCTTGAATAAAGAGCCCTGTATTAGCATTTTACACTAGACCCTACAAATTATGTAGTTGACTCTGGGTGCAGAAGCTAACTGAAGAAAAAAAGGGAAGAGATACTGGAAGGGGAAAGGTGAGAAATGTGTCTCTCATTTGACCCAAAAGGAAGTCAAATTAATGGAAGAGTAGAGGGTTTTGACATCCATCCAATATTTGCCACCATGTCTTAAACCTGTTGGCCATCCTCCCACCCAAGCATTTCCTGGCACCCACCCACTAACTCAATTGATACGATTCTATATATTACCGAGGGATGATGTGCAAAGTAGAGCTTTCGTCCTTGAACGAGACAATATCTAAGTTTCCATCTCTTGACGGAGTTACAGTTCTTCAGCAGAGGTCCTTCTTTTAGTATTTTCTGAAAGACAGAAGCATAGGGATCAATTATATCAATTTGCAAGACCATATCATTTGTTCTCTCAGATGAGAAGATTAGATATCTTGAAGACTCTATCTCTGCTGAATAGGTGAGAAATGTCCTATAATCTATATAGGAATACAATGAAGTTAGTATGACCAGAAAAGGGATTGGTTACCCTTGTGTAACACATTCAAGATGATATAAGCTTCAAGTTTCTCAGGGTACATGGCCTCCAATCCATGGAGAATATCTCCATTTGTTGCAATGAGTGGTGGTGTGAGGGAGAAATATGAGACATAAAGATAATATTCCTAGGAAAGTACAATGGTCAGGGGAAAAGGTTGAGTTCAGGTAAGGCAGAAATGCTCAAAGTAGCAAGGTTGTAGCTCTTTTAGAGTGTTCCTTTTAGAATATTAAGTTGTGTCACGTCCCTTCCCTGCTCAAAGCATCCAATACCTTCCCAATACTTTTAGAAACAAATATAAATTCTATTTCAAGACCTTCAGAGGACTCATGGTCATACTCTATATGCAGAGTTATGAAAAATTGTGCTATGAATGGGTAATTATGAATGTAATGCACTCCACTATTGTCATGTATGCAAGAAATAAATAAATAAATAAATAAAAGCACACCAATATACAACTATTTTCTAATTACTTTCTTTACATATCTCATAATGTGATTTTCCAGCTATGTGAAGAACATGCTGACCCCCATGAAGACATTCTCATGTATGTTGTAGGGTACAAACCATCATGCAAGACTGATATTTGGGAGAAGTACTCATCCCTACCAAGCTGGAACCAAACCTATACTTATTGGACAATAAGCCAGATTGTTTCAATCAACAAATTAAGGTTTGTGAATTCTTTCTATCATGTAAATTAGAATTCACTATTGAATGACTATAAACATGTTTTATTGGCCTACTTCGTTTTTTCAAAGGTTTTATTTAGTTGATAATATTTCAAAGGCAGAAGATTTCATATAAAAACCCATATTTACCATGTCTTAAAAAAACAGACTATCTACCAATGGTGGGATTATATTCTCACATGGAAAGAATCTGCTGGAAACATGTAGCAGCTTCTTCCTTCAAATAAGGTGCCTGATTCCAGCAATTATTCATCTTTGGGACCCTGATTAAATGACTCTTTGCCACTCTCATTCTCTATCACATATGCTTCTATATGTTCTATTCTCTAACCAGTAAGATAGTACTAATGGACAGAGTCTCTGTATCTCAACTGAAAAATGAGTTCATAAGCAATCACAATCTACCTGAGCCTTTTTGATAACTTATGAGTTTCAAGATTATTGTCCTACTCTTTTTTTAAAAATATTTTTTTATTTTAAATATTTTTTTAGATGATGATGGACCTTTACTTTATTCATTTATTTTTTGTGGTGCTGGGAATTGAATCCAGTGCCTCACACATGTGAGGCAAGTGTTCTACCACTGAGCTACAACAACCGCAGCCCTATTGTCCTACTCTTATATGAAAAAGGATGATAGCAATGAGGAGTCAGAACAAAGAGAACAATAACATCTTGTGGGAAAGGGGGAGGTGGCATGGAGAATGAGATATTATACTTAAATAGTTGATACTGAGTCATCAATGAAAAAACAACTTTTGTCTAAGCATTAGCAATACATAGTTCCTTTCTTTTCTCTGTCCAGATAGGCTATAGTGTATACTCTCAATCATAGCATTTGATTTTCTCTGCCCTAACCCTCTCTCCTATGCCATATCCTAAGTTCTACCACACTAATCTTCATGATACTTGGGAAACATAAGAAGTCATATTTACCTCTTTCTATTAAAGACTTAAATTTTAAAATGGAACTGTTCCACTGGGTGTGGTGGCACATACCCATAATCCCAGTGAGACAGGCGGCTAAGGCAGGAGGATGGCCAGTTGGAGGCCAGCCTAGGCAACTTAATGAGACCTGGTCTCAAACTTTAAAAAATCAAAAATAAAATATAAAGGAGCTTGGGATGTAGCTCAGTGGTAAAGCACCCCTGAGTTCAATTCCCAACACAACCCCAAAAAAAGAAAAAAAAAAAAGATCCATTAAATGTTAGGTAGACTCCTGTTTTCTCTTTAAAGAAAATTTGTTCTTCCAATCCTATGAAACTGAAGCTACACCCATTATTTATGTCCTTTCTCCAAGCTGTTCAGCACTATCAAGTGTTAAATGTCGCCTTTAGTATTCTTATTTTATCATATATGATGTCTCCTGTACTAGTTCATTTTATAGTCTTTGGCTAGATAATTCCCCTTCCCACATTTTCAGTTTAAAGCCTTATAGCTCTTACTGGCAGATATTTACACAATTACATTCTCTTCTCAAAAGCAACTCCCCCTTAAGGAACCCATTTTTGAAGTATTGCAAACCATTGACCAGTAAACTAAGTTCTCGCATTTTGTAACCTGTGAATATGATAGCCCAAGAGAACTCAGATTTTAGTTAAGGCATTTGCCAAGTTCTTTCATGATATTACTATGAGCAAGAAGGAAAAATGATTATTTCCAAAGTGCCTATTTTATCTGTCTCCAGACCATATCCCCTCTCCCAGCAAACCATCGTGAATGTCAATGATTATTCAGAGCCCACTTCAAATAAGCCAGCACCCACCTCAATTTAGAGGGCCCCAGCCAAGCACCACCAGTCAGAGGACCAATAGAGATAATAGGAGTAAGATTTCTGTATCTCATTGTAAGTAAGTTTGAAGTAGATTCTGATAAGATGTGTATTGTAAGCCCTGAGCAACTACCAAGAAAATAAGTTTAAAATATTGTTTAACCATGATAAAACTATAAAATCCTCTGCATTCCTATTATAATGGCTAAAATTCAAAACACTGATATTACCAAATGTACAATAACAAGAACTCTCATTCATTGCTTGTAGGAATACACAGTGGTACCATCAGTTTAGAAGACAGTTTGGCAGTTTCTTTTAAAATCAAACATATGACCCTGTAATTGCAGTCCTTAGTATTTACCCAAATGCTTTGAAAATTTATGTCCACACAAAAATCTGCACACAACTGTTTATTGATGCTTTATTCATAATTGTCAATTCAGGGTTTTTGGGGTGTGAAGTTTGATAATTTTGAAATGTTAGCAACAAGTTAAGAGAGAAACTTTTGAAGCCTAAACAAAACATGTCTGCAAGCCATGGTTGGCTCACAGGCAAGCAGTTTGTACCTTCTGAACTATATAGCTACTGTCACGTCAGAGGAGGTTAAGAGTGAGTTCAGAGTTCATGTGAGACACATACTTATGAGATATATATTATCAAAATGGGAGCAGATAAGTAATGTGATTTATGTATACTAGGGAGAAGGGTTAAAATGCCATAATGAATTTCTTTAAGTTCTAAACACAGGCTTTGTATTATCAACTCTGAACATCTAGAAATACCCAAGCCTAGAGAGAAAGTAAAGTACCACACTACTAAATTTCCTTCTTCTAAATTCTGACCTCCTTCAGGAAAATTTACCTACTAACCCAACACTGTTTCTGGAAAGAAATTTAAAAAAAAAAACAAACTTGTTTATTTCAAAACCCAATAGGCCGTCCCAGGAAACCAGTTTGAATAGGGAGAAGTCAAAAATCACTCAATCAATGGATTTTTTCAAGCCAATAAAATACATGCATGAAAAACAACCTTTACCTGCTCGGGGCTACTAAACCAAACAAGGACCTAAGAGGAAAATTGGAAAATTGCAAGCAAACGAGTCAACACATCCTGCAAATGGATGTGTTGGAAGGTAAACCCTTGCCTCTCCCTTAAGAGAACCCTGCACAGTGCTTCCCAGTCCCTGGCCTCTTGCAGATAACATCTCATTGCCTCCTCAGCACAACTATTCAGAGTGTCATCTCCAATTTCCAGATGGCACATCTGAAGCTTGGGCATTTTCCGCTACTTTGTTTAAAGACCCGCAATTACAAAATGTGGTGGACTCTGTGCTTTCTCTCCCCATGACAAGGAAACTGGGAGTTCCTAGTTAATTAGTATGTATAGGACACAACACGGTGAACACATAGCCCACCCAACCCCCCACCAAACTTTGTCCCCAAAGACAAGATTATAGATAGCATTAGGTTTTCTGTGAACAGCCTGAATACTCATTACTAGAATTGTTCATGAGTTTCCTTCCAAGAGGCAAATAGTAAGCCTTATTTTTCTAAAGACTTAATGTTCCATGATGAGCAAAAGGGGACTTCTCCTGCTTTTTAAAAATGATGTCCAAGATTGACCAGAACATTAACTAGAGTTCACATGGATGCAGCACTTTGCAATTAATAAAATGCTTTTATTTTCATTATGGAACCTTCCCAGCAGCCCTCTGAAGTAGGTAGTAAAAGGCATGTTTCTGACTCAGTTCTGTCCTATGAAAACCACCTTGATCTTGGTTTCTTTAAGTAACTTGCCCATATATTCCATCATCAAGGAACTTTAAAATTTTCCTCTCAAACAAGGTAGTCCATGTTCCCCCCCACACACACACTTTTAAGACTTTCCAGCATCTTGGGGTTACAATATTTGTCAGAAAAATGCATTTCTAGTGCAGTTATAAAAGGCAATGAGGAATGGAACTCTCTGGGAAACTGCTCAGGGCTACTAAACCACCTTTGCAGCCACAGAGCTATTGCATAAAATGGGGCATACTTATAATCTTCTTGTCCAAGCTGCCATATTCCCATTGCAAATATCTATGATGTGGCAGATACGGAAAAATGAGGCAGGGCCTGCAGAAACCTTAGATGTTCTGAAATGCCTTGGCCCCACCCGCAAAGCTTCTTAAACCAGAGCACACTGAGGGCAAATCTCCTAGCCTTTCCTGCCAGTTCTATCACACATTAAAACCCAAATAAAGTTGGTCACAGTGGTGCACACCTGTAATGCCAGTGACTCATGAGGCTGAGACCGGAGGATTGCAAGTTCAAGACCAGCCTCAGCACCTTAGTGAGACCCTAAG